CCCAGGCTTCCTTGTAGCCCCTGCCTTGCAAAGCCCTCTGTATCTTTGTGTTATATTCCCAGCTCTGACATTAGCCATGCACTTGAGAGGCAGAAGCAGATGGATCTTTGTGAGTTCAAGGCCAGCCTGTTCTACAAGAGCTAGTTCCAGGATAGCTAGGGCTGTTACACAGAGAAACCCTGTCTCGAAAAACCAAAAGCAAAAAAAAAAAAAAAAAATTAAAGTATGATATAGATACATATTTTAAAAGTTTACAAGAAACAAACTCAAAGGTTTGCACATTCCATTAGTCCCCATAGGTCTATTTTTTTGTTTGTTTTGTTTTGCTTTGTTTTTGTTTGGTTTTGTTTTTTCAAGACAGGATTTCTCACTAGCTATGAAGCCAGTTCTGGAACTCACTCTGTAGACCAGGCTGACCTCAAACACATAGCCTGCCTCTGCCTTTCAAATGCTGAGGATTAAAAACATGCCCCACCACCCAGCTCTGTAGGACTCTTTTACCCAATTGTGTAGGTTCTTCTCTTCCCAGAGTCCTTCTGATTGTGACAAAACCCTTAGCAGACAAAGTGCAGCATCAGAGATTGCTACCCCAGCAGATATGTCCTGTAAAAGTTACTGCAGCTACAATCATTTGCGTTCCTAGGCGGCAGTGTCCCCTGCTGGTGAATCTAGGTATTTACTTCTCCATTTTCTTCTTAGAGCTCTTCTGATATGCTGGATTCTGACCCTAGGCCCTGGCTGGCTAATCCTTCTATCCGGAGGACATTCTTCCCAGAGCCCCATACGTACGTACCTGCTGTTGCTATTTCTCCTGTAAGGGAGAGACCACATAGCTCAGGGGTACACGCCCCAGCCCATGGTCCCCAATGGACCACTTTGGGTCTAAACTTGTCAGGCAAACTGTCTTCCTTGGCTCTGAGTGAAACAAAGTGCTGTTTCTCCGCAGGAGCACTGAGGACATCCCAGACCTCAAGGGTCTGCTGAGACAGTTGCAGCCAGGGCCTCCGGGCCGGGCAGCCCGCATGCTGCTTTCTGCTGCCCAGAAGGCACCTGCAGCCAGTGTGGTGCGCAGCCGTGGGGAACCAGGTCCCAGGCATCCAAAGAGTGCAGGTGAGGCCCGCACCTTACTTACTTTCTTTACTGTGCTGACACTGTCCTTCCTCGCTAACTGCCGTGCCGGGATGGCGCACTGGCGTCAGGTGAAGCCTTAGATAACAATAGGAAGAGCTTGGTCTAGGACTCAGGAATCGGCTCCTCGTGGTTATAGGAAAGCGTTAAACCAGTAATGCCTTAGAGGATGGCAGTGCCAGTGTTCTGCTGCCATCTCAGAACGGCGGTGCCAGTGAGCGCCCCCCGCAGTCCCATCACGTGGGCGCTGGAGGAGGCAGAGGATCAGTGGTGAAGGTCGTTCTCGGTTCCATAGAGCGCGCCCAGCCAGCCTGAGGACCCTGCCTCCGAAGAGAAAAGAAAAAGAAATGGCTGCAGTCGTCTCAGGTCTCCTCTGGAAAGGATGCTCTTCCAGCTCGTTGAGAGGCTGGTGAGACACTGTCTCCCAGGGTGGCAGCTGGCTTCAGCAGTGGCAGGCGAAAGGGAAGCAGAGAGTTTCGGGTTTTGTTTTTCCTTGAGACAGTGTCTCATCACATAATGCTTAGCTGGCCTGGAACTCACAGAAATCCTCCTGCCTCTGCCTCCCAAGTGCTGGGATTCAAGGCATGTGCCACCACATCCTGGTGAAGTCATGGCTTTTTGTAACTTATTCACAGACACTGTGATTTGCTACTGGACAGCACCCACACTCAGAGCCCCAATACAAACAGGCAGTGGTAGGTGACAGAGTCATTTCAGAGTCCATAGGAGGAGGAAGGAGGCGGGAAAGAAGCAGCATTTGGGGTGTCTGCTACTGATAAGGCACTAAGATGACGTGAGCGCTTTGACAGACATTCGGCGCTGTCGCAGGAGTTTCTGAGATTCTGAAGAAGAGGTGAGTGCTGACTGTTGGCTCTTGTTACTGCTCATTTGATTTGGATTCATTGGGTGTCTGTATGTGCTAGCCGTGTACGGTCAAAATAGCAGTGCTCGTATCTTAATGAAGAGATGTCTGTCTGTATCACACAAGGAATTCTAAAGCTAAACTGTAATAAATACCTTGAAAGAACAGATGGTAGGGTGACAAGATTCAATCAGAGAATCCAGGGAAAGCCTTATAGGAAGGAGCATTTCATCTCAGACTTGAATGAGAAAAAATTAAGCAGGCAAAGAAGCTAGAAAGGATATCTCAAAAGAAAACTTAAACCATGGAAGCCTTTTGTAAAGAGCTAGAATATTTGTTTTGATTTTTGTTTTTCAAAAAAAAGGTCTTACTGGGCTGTGGTGCACACATTTCATCCCAGCACTCGAGAGGCAAAGGCAGGTGGATCTCTGTGAGTTCGAGGCCAGCCTGGTCTACAGAGTGAGTTCCAGGATAGCCAGGGCTACACAGAGAAACCTTGTCTTTTTTTTTTTTATTATGTATACAATATTCTGTCTGCAGACCAGAAGAGGAGACCAGACCTCATTACAGATGGTTGTGAGCCACCATGTGGTTGCCGGAAATTGAACTCAGAACCTTTGGAAGAGCAGGCAATGCTCTTAACCGCTGAGCCATCTCTCCAGCCCGAGAAACCTTGTCTTAAAAAAAACAAATAAACAAAAAGGTCTCATTGTTCATCCCAAATTGGCCTTGAACTTGCTGTCCCTCAGCCTCAACTTCCTAAGTGCTGGGATTGCAGGCCTGTTCCACCATGTCTGGTATGGAGAGAAATAACTAATGAGCATTTCTAATGCAGAGCCCAGAGCAGAAGAGCAAAACAGGACGAACGGTGTGGGCAGAAGGAAGAGACAGAAATTGCAGGACCAAAGGTAGGCAGGCATCCGTCACCTCCAGAGCTCAGTGCTCTCTGGAGCCTTCCTAACACTTGCTTCAGTCAGGCCTGGGCGGGCCGGGAGGCCTGGGCGGGCTGGGAGGCCTGGGCGGGCCGGGAGGCCTGGGCGGGAAGACTGTGTGTTTGACTACTACGACCCCTGGGATATACAGCAAGCATCAGTGCAGCCTGAAGTCAGTGCCTGCTGGTGTCTGGGGGGCAGCAGAATGGGGAGTGGCTGCTGGAAATGCTCTGGGAGGAGCTGTGGTCACTCAGCTCGGAAGCAGCCTAACCCATACCTCCAAAGGCTAATTTTATGGTATATGTATAATATCTCAACTTTAAAATTAAAAAATGTTCAGGCATGATAGCATGTGCCTTTAATCCCAGGAATTGGAAGGCAGAAATAGGCAGATCTTTGTGAGTTCTGGGAAAGCCTGGTCTACATAGCAAGTTCTAGGCCTTGCAGGTCTACATAGTAAGACCCTTTCTGAAAATTAATTAATTTTTAAAAACCGAGGACAGTGATAGAAGCCCTGTCATCAGATGCTCAAAAGTTGACTGCCTTCCTCTTGTCTGTCATATCAAGTGGAAAAACAAGGACGCCAATGGAGTTGCTGTCCCCACTGTCTTCTTCAGCTTCTGGTCTGGAGCCTGTGTGGTCTCTCCCAGATAACTGGCCTTAAACTGTTCTTCCCCACAGACCATTGTCCAACTCCAGTTCTCAGCCGAATCGAAAGGGAGCAGCAAGAGCAAGGCAAAGACAGCACCAACCTCAGACCGGAAATGACAGTGGTGTCCAGGCCACCGGACAGTGTCCCATTTGTACAGGTGAGCCACATCGATTACTGTGGAGGTGTGGAGACCAGGAGTTCATTTAGGAAGATAGGAAGAGCCTGTGGGGACCTGGAGGGCGACTGCGGCAGGTGAGGACCTGAGCTTGTGTCCCGGCACCCACTCAAAAGCTGGGTGTGCAGCCCATGTCCATAAGCACAGGTTGGAGGTGCAGAGACAGACAGAGGCCTGGGACTCACTGGCCAGTCCCTCTAGATACTGGTGCATTCTGGGTACAACAGGAGACCCTGTCTCAAAAAATAAGATGGAGAAACAAGAAGATATGTAATGTCACCTTTGTCTTCCATATATACACATAGTACACACACCAAACACAGTTTTGTTTTGTCCAGGCCTAGTGGCCGTGTTCTTTGTGCTCCTCACTGGCCCTTTCCAGTAGCCTCCACATTTTGTAAGGACATCCATATCTCCGGCACCTAGCTACTGTTGGACACATAGTAGACATAGCCTGCCGGATCATGTCTCTCAGGTTTGAAGTACTCAGCCCTGGGAGGTTTCCCACGTGAGCAGTGCGCAGTGGCAGCAGATGCTCTTTCTCCCCTCCATAGGCTCCTTCAGCGTCGAGACTCTTCCCTTACATGCTGCCACTTGTGGAGAGAGCTCCCCACCCCAGCCAGCCTCTCCCTCCTCGTCCTCCTCGACAGAGAGCTCCCCACCTCCCTCCTGGGTCCAGTGCCCTATTTGCGGTTTACAGTTCCTAGCAGGAGAAATAGAAGAACATGCCAGCCTGTGCGGAGAGGTTTTTCCAGCCTGAGCCGTGGAGTTCTGTTGACCTGTTATGCTGGAACCTAGGGACTAGGTCTCTTGTGGCTAAGAAGAGTCGGTTCCCCTCCCTTCGCCGGTTACCTCAGAACCTGCTGGAGGACACATCTGGACCCAGCTTGCTCCCCACTCCCAGTTGTCGAGGCTTTGTCACTATGGTACCCAGTTCTCATAAGGACAGTGTCCCCTTGGAACTTCTTTGGTGGAATTGGTGATCTCTCCAACGCCTTAGGACACTAGCTAGAGTGTTTTTCCCTCTGTGAATGGTACTTATCTTCACGCCCATTTTCCTGAAAGCAAAACTGAGGCTTAGAAGGAAAATGTGGCCTGGAAATAATAAAGTCCCATGATGTTCTGGGAAGATGAGTGAGTTTTGAGTATGAAGCTGACATCAAGCTTTTAAACCTTGACCTTCTGTATCCTTCATGGGTGTCTTTCCTAGGTGCAGTCACAGACAGCTCTGTAAGTATACTGTACTTACTGTGGGTCTGAGGTGGGAACTCAGTACCCGGAAGAGCTCTCCTGCTGCCCATAGGACTGTCAGAGGGACCAGAGAGATCCCTTTCTAAGGAACAGAAGGTTCTAGGCTTGGCTGTGAGGCCTGCACAATTCCCATTCTCAGCTGTTCAGTGAGCTAATCGGGCCGCAGTGTCTCCAAGGTCCTGGACCTGTGATAGTCCAAATTCTGCTTTGAAAAATTATTCGCCCTTCCCCTTTTCCCAGGAGACATCATCCTGTGACACTAACACCAGCTCTCCTGTCCCTGGGGTACAGCGCAGAGAGACAGCAGCTGGTCCTGAAAAAGGGAGGGCTCAGGGTGGGGCTGAGCGGGGCTGAGAGAGAATGCTGGGAGAGTCAAGGGAGAGACAGACGGGGAGTTCAAGCCTTCGGGGTAGCTGCAGCCATGGATCCCCTTTCGGTAAGAGACCCTTGCTGCCCTCCCCTCCCCATCTTGGTCCCACGACTCACTGCCCATGGGGATTCAGGGACAGTCTAGCTGCTGGACAAATAGTAGGACCACCATGTGGAGGGGAGACCCCAGAGACAGTGCCTGGAGGAGAAATGCCTTCCAAGGCAGAGGCGAAGTGAGAGCGGTTGATGGAGGGGAGCACAGTAGGAGCCTGTGAGGAGCCCGGCTTAGAGACCCTCCGTGTGGGCTTCAGAGATGAAGTCAACAGTCTGGGAACTAGATTCTTGTCGGGTTCTGTGTGCCTGTGTGTGAGTTAGGCTTCTAGGGTGGCCCTGACCACCTGCTTTAAGTCACCTCTCCAGGGAACTAACACTGGGCCCTACTATGTAGGATTTTTATGAGCGTGGAAGTAAGCTAATAAGTCCAGCCCTTTCCTTTTCTACATAATAAACTGTGTTTGTAACAAGGAAGACGTAACAGCTGACTCCAGAGGGGTAGAGGCCAGAAGGTAGGTGAGGAAGGCCTCCAAACTAAGGGGTTTGGGACTCAAGAGCACTGTCCTCTCCCCTCTGCCACCCAGCCACAGCCCAGCTGGACTGAGATTGTGAACAAAAAGCTCAGGTTCCCACCCACGCTCCTGGGTGCCATCCAAGAGGGGCAGCTGGGTCTGGTGCAACAGCTGCTGGAGTCAGGCCCCGACGCCTCGGGCGCTGGGCCAGGCGGGCCTCTGCGGAATGTGGAAGAGTCCGAGGACCGCTCCTGGAGGGAAGCCCTCAACCTGGCCATCCGTCTGGGCCATGAGGCCATCACCGATGTGCTGCTCGCCAACATCAAGTTTGACTTCCGGCAGGTCCACGAAGCCCTGCTAGTGGCGGTGGACACAAACCAGCCAGCAGTGGTGCGTCGCCTACTAGCTCGGCTGGACCGGGAGAAGGGCCGAAAAGTAGATACCAAGTCTTTCTCACTAGCTTTCTTTGACTCGTCGATCGATGGCTCCCGCTTTGCGCCTGGTGTTACTCCACTCACACTGGCCTGCCAGAAGGACCTGTATGAGATTGCCCAGCTGCTCATGGACCAAGGTCACACTATCGCTCGGCCCCACCCAGTTTCCTGCGCCTGTCTTGAGTGCAGCAATGCCCGCCGATATGACCTGTTAAAGTTCTCTTTGTCCCGAATCAACACCTACCGCGGCATTGCAAGCCGGGCTCACCTCTCCCTGGCCAGCGAGGATGCCATGCTGGCCGCCTTTCAGCTCAGCCGGGAGCTCAAGCGCCTTGCACGAAAGGAGCCTGAGTTTAAGGTTTGTTGCCCCCACTCTTCACTCAGTTCTGCCCTCCAGGCCCAGGGTCTGTTCTGGCATCAGGGCAGGACTGGGCTTTATGGTGAATGTTCTAGGAAGTCTGAGAAGTGAGAACAGGCGAAAGAGGATGAAGGCTCTTGTTGTACGAGCTGCAGTTCATTCTGAGGTAGGCTTTCATTCTAGTGAGAGCCGTCACTTCAGGGGCACTTGGCTCCTACCCTAGCACACTCCAGGTCCCTCTAAGCTAAGAGAAAAATAGAAACAGCTGGACAGCCTTCAACATGACCTTCAGTAGAGCATGGTCCTTTGGGGTACCCACTGTATTTTCATGTGGAGTGCTGTGTTGGAATTCTCGAGCTTGTGGTCACGAATGGGAAAAGGGGACAAGATGCTTCCGGGACTTCATTCAGTGCCTCTGTGGATGGTCTTCACAGGACTTCCAAAGCACAGAGAGCAGGAAAAAGGAGTGACCTTCGGCATTTGTGTCCCAGGAAGGTTCTTAAGGGAAAAGGCGTTTAAGTTTGACCGGAAGGGGCTGGCTGGAGAAGATGAGCAGGAACTAGCTGGAGTAGGCTGCAGACTTGGCAAAGGGCTATAATGTGGAGGCGTGGCTCACTCAGTTGGTAGAGTATCCGCCTACTTTGGCTGACACTCAGAGTGTGATTCCCAGCACTACATGTGGTGGACACACCTGTAATCCCACCACCTGGGAGGTAGACACAGAATGATCAAAGTTCAAGGTCATTGGCAAGTTTGAGGCCAGCCTGAAATGCATGAGATCCTATTTCAGTGACCCCACCCTCCCCAAAGAGTGTGAGGACCTGGGTGGACCAAAGATACATGCAGCAGAGTGTCTGGCCTGGCACGAGTCATTGGCATTCCCTGTATGCCAAGCCAGACTAGGTCCCCATCCTCAAGACTGCCATTAGGTGGGGAGCCTGTGAGGATATTAGGAAGGCCTAGGACAAGATGAGGCTGGAAAGGCAGAAGAATGAACAGGAAGGAGCGGTGTCTTCAGAGGCCTTTCCCTCTCTTAGCAGCCTGGGGAGTGGGCAGAGCAGGAATTCTTACCCATACTTTACAGTCGGAGAGACTGAGGTCTGTAAAACAAAGCAGAGAAGCTTCCTGTCTGAGGGACAGTGCTAAGGGTGCCCTAGATCTTCGAAGCCTGGCTTAGGTCCTCTCTTAGAAAAAGGCCCCAAATAAAATAGGATAGGGTGGGGAGTGTGCAGCCAAGAGCTGCTTACTCTTCGCATCTCCTTAAACTGCCCACACCGGTTCCATATAAGGATGATGCTCAGAAAGACAAACAGGATGAGCACAAGGAAAGGGTAGTGGTGGAGGAGTGAGATGGTTCAGCAGGCAAAAACTCTTGCCTCTATGCAGGCCCTATGACCTGAGTTCAACCCCCAGGACCCATAGAAAAGTGGAAAGAACCAATTCTGCAAAGTTGTCCTGAGCTCCGCACGTGTGCTATGCTCTGTGCACCTGTGCACACATCACAGCGATAGCTGTATGTATGTCCTGAGCTCTGCACGTGTGCTATGTCATGTGCACCTGCACACACATCACAGCGATAGCTGTATGTATGTCCTGAGTTCCGCACGTGTGCTATGCTCTGTGCACCTGCGCACACATCACAGCGATAGCTGTATGTATGTCCTGAGCTCCGCACGTGTGCTATGCCATGTGCACTTGCACACACATCACGGCGATAGCTGTATGTATGTCCTGAGCTCTGCACGTGTGCTATGTCATGTGCACCTGCACACACATCACAGCGATAGCTGTATGTATGTCCTGAGCTCCGCACGTGTGCTATGCCATGTGCACCTGCACACACATCACAGTGTTAGCTGTATGTAAAGAAAGCATGGGCTGTCAAGAGTTAAAGTGGGGCAGGAAGCAGGAACTAGAGAAGTCTGAGGGACAGCAGAGGTGGCATGTTTGGGTTGAAGTGGCTTAGTGATGAGGTGAGGAGAGCATCAGGTAACAAAGAGACACAGAAGGCTTGATGAGGTAGCAGAGAAGGAAATAGATGAGCCAGTGACATCAGATCTGTTGGCACACACAGACACTCTTTTCTTACAGCCTCAGTACATTGGCCTGGAGTCGCTCTGCCAGGACTATGGCTTTGAACTGCTGGGCATGTGCCGGAATCAGAGCGAGGTCACTGCGGTGCTCAATGACCTGGGTGAGGACAGTGAGACTGAGCCTGAGGCTGAGGGCCTGGGCCAGGCCTTTGAGGAGGGCATCCCCAACCTGGCAAGATTGCGGTTGGCTGTCAACTATAACCAGAAACAGGTCAGCTGGGCCTACTGCCTGCCCTTCCTCCCGGGGTCCCTCATCCTGTCTCCTCTGAGGCACATGTCCCTCTTCATCCTCATAGTATGACTTTCTTTCCTTGGAACCTGAGATCTTGATTCTGAGTACCCTTCCATATGATTCCTCCAGTCTGAGCGTTAACCACATACTCCTTCTTTGGAAAACTAGTCACCACTAGGAGTCCACGTTCAGGTCTCACACAGTCTTAGCTTTGCGTCCGGCCTGATGAGCAGCTTTAGTCCGGACTGCAGGGCCTCACCTGTATAGCGAGGGCTTAAATGGCTGGTGAGTTTTTTTGTTTTTTGGTTTTTTGTTTTTTTTCCTACCAAACAGCTAAGCTAAAGACAGGATCCCTGTCCAGCCTCCCCCAGCCTCTGACTCCTCACACATCTCACTTCTATACTGATAGAATAAATTCCTATAATAGAAACAATTGGGTTAAAGGTTATATGTATTCTTAGCCTGAGGACAGACAGATCCTGAAATGCTGGCAGCCGTTGTTTATGGGAGATAACAAACCGCGCTTTCACTCCTCGAGTCTGAGTCATAGTTTGGGTCTGGGCTCCAGGGACTCTCTGAGGACCCAGCTGTTTCTGTGACCCATACATGCTTTGTGTAATTCTAATGATGAACAAAATCCAACCCATGCAAGCTAGAAAGATGGATTTAGATGGTGCTCTCATTCATGAAGATCTCCTACCTACCAGGCACATTACCAGAGCCTTCCCTTGTGCTGTCTTCATTGACCTGGTCCTCATGAAAGGAGACCCATGTTCCCTGCCCCTTCCCTGCTCAGGTTCATTCACCTAGACTTCTGTTACACACACCTGCTGAGGCCAGGAACTCTGGGAATTCTGGGACTTAGACCCTAAGTTCTACCCACTCCTGCCAGACTTTGATTCAAGAATGTGGAGTGGGAGCCAGTTGGTAGTGGTGTACGCCTTTAATCCCAGCACCCATAATGCATATGCACCCATAATGCAGAGGCAGGTGAATCTCTGTAAATTCGAGGTCAGCCTGGTCTACAGATTGAGTTCCAGGACAGGCTCCAAAGCTACAGAGAGAAACCCCGTAAAAAAAAAAAAAAAAAACCTGTGAGGGAGGCATGAGGCGTCTCAGCATCGGAAGGCACTCGCTCCTCATGTGGCAGATGGCTCAACCTCTGTGGCAGGAAGTAAGGGCTCTGTATCCAACCAGCTCCTTTGACCTTCCTGCCTGGTGGCCATCTCTCATGGCCCATATCTGCTTAGTTTGTAGCACATCCCATCTGCCAGCAAGTTCTGTCTTCCATCTGGTGTGGGAACCTGGCTGGTTGGCGTGGAAGCACCACCATCTGGAAGCTCTTCGTTGCCTTTCTCATCTTCCTCACCATGCCCTTCCTCTGCATTGGCTACTGGCTGGCGCCCAAGTCCCGGGTAAAAAGAATAAGATGAGTGATACCTTGCTTTGTGTTCTGGAAGTATACAGGGGGCTGGGGGCAGGGACAGGCGTCACAAAACTGCCAGACTGCGGCAAGAGAAAGGGTAGAGGGGGCCACGCAGGCCCCTGGCTGGGTAAGAGGAGGAGGTTTAGAAGGGGGTGGTGATGTTCTTACCTTTAGTTTGGTTCAGTTTGAACTTTTCTTGTTGGATTCTCCTCACCTCCCAAAAACGTTGGGGGAGGCAGTAATAACATCTCACATGGTTGTGAAAGAGAAAACAAAATATAGGGCCTGGTGCACCCCACATTCTTCATAGTATTGCCTAGATGAGTGGGTGAATCTGAAGGTCACAGACTCACATGGGGGCCAAGCCATCTAGAGGACTCCACGGACAAGTGGCAATGCCTCTGACATGCTTTCCCGTCTCCCCCAAAGCTGGGCCGCCTGCTGAAGGTCCCAGTGTTGAAGTTCCTGCTGCACTCTGCCTCCTATCTGTGGTTTCTTATATTCTTGCTGGGAGAGTCCCTGGTCATGGAGACTCAGCTGAGCACCTTCAAAGGCCGCAGCCAGAGTGTCTGGGAGACTTCACTACATATGATTTGGGTCACGGGTACGTACGCGAGAGCTCACCAAGATCCATCTCCGTGGCCAGCTCTGGCACTGAGACTTCAAGATCGTTTACTAGAGCTGGGTTGCTGTGGCACACAACTGTAACCCCAGCACTCAGGAAGCTGAGGCAAGAGGTAACAAATTCCAAGCCAACCAGGGCTACGCAGTGAGACCCTGTCTCAAAGGCGTGAGGAGTTAAGATGTTCAGTGAACAAAAGCACTTGGTGCCGAGCCTGGCAGCCTGAGTCAGGACCAGAGGCAAACCTGGCGGGAAGAGAGCCAGCTCCCACGAGTCGTCCTCTGACCTCTACACGCGTGCACACACACATATACACACAAATGACAAACAAATGTTTAAATTTAAAAAATAATAAAATGGAATCCTTAAATGTTTGCCTAATATGGTTTGGTGGGGTCCCCGTGGGGCTTGCTCTCTGTACGACACCTGTCCAGCTTCCTGTGTAGGTCGCCTCTATCGTGAGAGCAGTCTGCACCAGTGAGGGGATCCTTATCTTCCCAGAAGGTCACTTTGCACATGGATGGATTAAATTTTTCAGCACCCCCCCCCCCTCAGTGCCCTGCCACTGCAACCTGTGTCCTGGAAGGAGGAGGAGGCTCCGCCCTTCTCTCCCAACCCCTGTCCCCTTCCAGGCTTCCTGTGGTTTGAGTGTAAGGAGGTGTGGATCGAGGGCTTGCGCAGTTACCTCCTGGACTGGTGGAATTTCCTGGATGTGGTCATCCTGTCGCTGTACTTGGCATCCTTTGCACTGCGCCTCCTGCTGGCTGGGCTGGCCTACATGCACTGCCAGGAAGCCTCTGACAGCGCCACCTGCCACTACTTCACTGCTGCTGGTGAGGGCATGACCTTCCTCTTTGCTATGATCAAATACCCAGCAAATAGCCAGGCACTGGTGATGCACGCCTTTAATTCCGGCTCTCGGGAAAGTACGAGGCTAGCCTGGTCTACAGAGTGAGTTAGTTCCAGGACAGCCAAGGCTACATAGAGAAACCCTGTCTTGAAAACTAAACAACAAAACCAACAACAAAAATACAAAACAACTTAAGACAGGAAGAGTTTAGAGTTTATTTGGTTCCTAGTTCGATGAGACACAGTACATCCCGGTGAGGAAGACATGGCGGGTGCAGAGGTAGCTAGTCACACGGCCCATAGTCAGCAGAAGGATGAGTGCTGGCGCTCAGCTCCAGGCCTCCTTTTCTTTTTATAGTCAGTCCAGGAACCCAGTCACATTCAGGCAAGGTCTTCCCTCCTCAGTAAAAGCCCTCCAGAACCACCCTGACAGACGTGTCTAGAGGTGTATCTCCCGGGCGACTCTGGAGCAGTCCAGCTGATGTAACAGTGACTGGCAGCCCGGCAGGGAGTCCCGAGGCACTTGTCTTTCTTGGCTCTCAGCCACTGCCCACTGTGCCCTGCACAGAGCGGAGTGAGTGGCGCACAGAGGACCCCCAGTTCCTGGCCGAGGTACTCTTCGCTGTCACCAGCATGCTGAGCTTCACCCGGCTGGCGTATATCCTGCCAGCTCATGAATCGCTGGGCACTCTGCAGATTTCCATTGGCAGGATGATCGACGACATGATCAGGTGTGTGCTCCCCTGGCCCCCACAGATTCTGTTTCCCAAACCCATGTTCCTCTCACAAGACAGATCTCCAGCAGTCTCTGAACCCCGGAATCTAGAGACAGAATGTAAATGTGTTTTTCTCAGCAGGGATGTTTACGGCCATTACAAGCCACCAATAGCAGAAAGAGCCCTTGGTGGCTGCTTCTGACCCCACTTCTAGAACAACTCTATGTCTTACTGCTTTCCTCTTTGGAAATTGAAGTCAGAAGGCAAAAAATCAAATAAAAACAAAGAGCTAGGAAGGTCAACCTCTCTTTCCCTGATTCCTTTCCCCAGACCCCGACTTCTAGTGTGGAGACCTGCTCTGACCTTTCACACCTACTCCCCTCAGGTTCATGTTCATCCTCATGATCATCCTGACTGCCTTTCTCTGTGGCCTCAACAACATTTATGTGCCGTACCAGGAGACGGAGCAGCTGGGCAAGTACGCCGAGGCCGGGGCTGGGGTGGCCCTTCCCTTGTTGGCTCACTCAGCTAACTGACCAGCCTGCAGTGATTTCCTCTGACAGTCACTAATTTATTTGATGGCACAGCCACTTGTTTCCAGCCCTTCTCTTTGACAAATGTCAATCATGTGGAAATAGTAATGAAGAGATTCCCTAGTCATGTGTGCCATTCTTAAGTGGGCACCCACGCCCTTCACTGGGCACCCATACTCTTCACTGGGCAGCCTCACCCTTCACTGACACCCATGCCCTTTACTGGCTCCCATGTCCTAATTGGACACCCATGCCCTTCACTGGGCACCTATGCCCTTCACTGGCACCCACGTCCTTCACTGGGCACCCATACTCTTCACTGGGCAACCTTACCCTTCACTGGCACCCATGTCCTTCTTAACTGGACACCCATGCCCTTTACTGGGCACCCACGCCCTTCACTGGACACCCACGCCCTTCACTGGGCACCCTCGCCCTTCACTGGGCACCCATGCCCTTCACTGGGCACCCTCATTCTTCACTGGGCACCCTCACCCTTCACTGGGCACCCTCGACCTTCACTGGGCACCCTCGACCTTCACTGGGCACCCATGATCTTCACTGGGCACCCATGCCCTTCACTGGGCACCCTCAACCTTCACTGGGCACCCTCGACCTTCACTGGGCACCCATGATCTTCACTGGGCACCCACGCCCTTCACTGGGAACCCTCGCCCTTCACTGGGCACCCTCACCCTTCACTGGGCACCCACGTTCTTCACTGGGCATCCACGCCCTTCACTGGGCACCCACGCCCTTCACTCAGTGTCACCGCTCATTGTTGTTCTGCTGCCACTTGCTTGATCTGTTGATTTTTTTCTCTTGCAATACTTTTTTACTTGTTTGGTTTTTGAAGCTATGTAGCTATGACTATCCTAGAGCTTGCTGAGTAGACCAGGCTGGCCTGGAATTTACAGAAATTACATAACCTCTGCCTCACCAGTGCTGGATTAAAGGTGTGTAGCCCCAACAAGATCTTCCCAAATGTAATTCAGCTGTCTCCCTCTGTCCAGAGCTCTTCATGGATTTCTGCCATTGGAAGGCCATGGCTGAGTCTTTAACTCTATTTTGTAAGGCCCTGTATCTGTGTGGTCCCTAACAGCCCCTCACAAGCCCTCTCTCTTCTCCACATCTCACCCTAAGCCTCCCCAGAAAACAAGGACCTTGAAGACAGGGTTCTGCTTCTATACACCACTGTGTCCTTAGTACCCATCACTACACTTTGTTCAGTAACTGGAGAGGGGATGCAACGCTAAGGACCTTCCTGCTCTTGCAGAGGACTGTCTAACTCCAGCTCCAGGATTTCACTGCTTCTGACCTCTGTGGGCTCTTGCATACACACAGTACATATCTCACACATGCACATATACACATATCTGTGTGTATATACACACATATACACATATATAAAATATACATACCCAAAATAAAATAAATTTTTAAATAAAGGTTACTGCTAAGAAATGACAAATATCAAGCCAGGCAGTGGTGGCGCACACCTTTAATTCCAGCACTTGGGAGGCAAAGACAGGCAAATCTCTGTAAATTCAAGGCCAGCCTGGTCTACAGAGCTAGTTCAAGAACAGCCAGGGCTGTTACACAGAGAAATCCTATCTCAAAACAAAAGAAAAGGAAGGAAGGAAGGAAGGAAGGAAGGAAGGAAAGAAAGAAAGGAAAGGAAAGGAAAGGAAAGGAAAGGAAAGGAAAGGAAAGGAAAAGAAAAGAAAAGAAAAGAAAAGAAAAGAAAAATGTCTATATCCACAAGGATGGCCCAAAAGGCTTCACGGACACAGAATTCCTTTGGCTAAGCCTTCAGGGGAGGGAGTGTGCCTGGCTTCTCTCCCAACCCTACCACTGTATTTCTCTCCTTTGCTTGGCCCCACCCTGCCAGCTTCAACGAAACGTTCCAGTTTCTATTCTGGACCATGTTCGGCATGGAGGAACACAAAGTGGTGGACATGCCTCAGTTCCTGGTGCCTGAGTTCGTGGGCCGGGCCCTGTACGGCATCTTCACCATCGTCATGGGCATCGTGCTGCTCAACATGCTCATTGCCATGATCACCAACTCCTTCCAGAAGATCGAGGTAGGGAATCCCCTCTGTGTGACAAGGGTTTCGGTGCTGCTGCTGTTGCTGGTGGTGG